TCAGGAGGCTGAACCCTCAACAGTCTGTAGAATCCCCTCACTGATTACACTGTAAGTGATAATCCACCTTAACCAAAATCAAAGTAGACTATATACATATATCTATTTGACGATATATATATATCGTCACAAACAGAACTGCCCGGTAGACCGTAGGCAGAGAGAGAGAAGAGGACAACAAACGAGGGGCTGTGACAAACTGTTTCGTCGGAGTTTCACCGACTATATACAGCCTCATGATGAGTCGGTGAAACTCCGACAGAACAGTTTCAAATTGTCAGAGCCCCTCGTTTGTCGTCCTCTTCTCCATCTCTGCCTGTTGTAACAGTTTCCCGTGCAGCTCTGTTTAACGATATAATTCCTTACAGAATTGAAAAAAATAAACAATTAGAAAATCAAACAAAGGCACCCCTTTGAGCCCCTCTGAGCCCCATTTATACCCCCCCTCCACAAACAACACCAAGAGACAAGAGTGAGCCCGGCTTTGTTGCATTTGGTGGGTGCCAATAAATGAAAAAAAAAAAAAAGACAAAATTTAATCCCAGAGTTGTTACATCAACTCACACATGCCTGGGGTTAACTCGTCTGGTAGCCTAACTATATATGGGCCTCGCCGCACCGCACCACTCCTGGAATGCACAGAAAGGAGAATGTATCTTCCGCAAAAACATGAAAAGATGCAGCCGCTTTTATGCAAGATGGTACATACATATATTGTATTTGCAGTGCCCTCCACAAATGCCTTTGCTTGTCTAAGATTAGTGCTGTTTCTGCGAAAATGCCGTCTTTTTTTTATTATCGAAATTTATCAGATTTGAAAAGATCTTTCTCACAATTCAAATGTTGAGTCGGTTGACTCTGCTCTGCTGTGTTTTTTATTTTCTTCATATTTAGTATTTAGTATTTAGTATTTAGTATTTACTAATGAAGAATGAATTCCATTACATCATATTACTCCTGATGTAATAATCATCTAAATAATTTAAATAAAGCCATAACCTAGGATACATAATTAATTTTATTTATTTGATATATAGAATCTCTAGAAAAATTATATATTTTATTATAAGTAAATATATTTTATTATAAAAGACTCAAAATAATTCAATCATCCAATCCACAATTAAGCCCCTTGTCAGATTGGAACGGACGAATGTTGAGTCCGTTGACTCTGTTCTGCTGTTTTTTTTTTCTTCCTAAGTGTATACTCACACCAGGCCCTTAAAATCAGAAAATTAAATCGAAGGATTATTAAACCCTCTCTCAGCATTGGAAAGGGGGTCTAAAAAAAAAAAA